AAGTACTTCTTTTAAATATAAAATAAATTATTTTAAATAAATTTTCGAAAACAATTTCTTAAAATTTAATTTAAATAAACGTTTTAAATAGATTTTAAATAGATAAGATACTGATTATTTACATTTTAATATATGAACATACGTTTAAGTATACTCGTACATTTATAAGTTTCTTCGATCTCTTGGCTCTCAAAGGAAACCGATATATCCCGCCTGTGCACGCAAATAATAAATACTAAACATAAATCAATTATGTAACTTAAAAGTTAATCATAGCATTTAGTATTGAATTAATCCTTTAATTACAGATTATCGAAGGACACGCGCCGGTGAACAAGTTCAGCGGGACCGCTTTATGGACTTTCTATTAAAGTTATCGAACCCCCATAAATATTGGGGACCACAACGGTACAGAGGCAGGGGCAGAGGCGGAGAAAGCGGCAAAAAAAGCGAGCAGGGACGAGATCGCCCCTATTAAATCCGTGAACTTTTGTTAAGTGAATCAACATATTAACCCTTTGGTTGCCAAATATACATACATAAAGATATATAATATATATATATATAATTAACTAAAATTCTTATTTGTTATTAATTTGTGAAATAATTATTTTAATTTAGCTAAGGAAATGGTAAATGAATCGCACCATGGAATCGAAATCATGGAAACCTCATCGATTATAAATAATTCGTTTTTTATATGTATCATTATTATATTTTTTATTCTATGTTTTCAAACATTCGAATGAATTATTTCACGAAAACTAACACACGAAAATATAAGTGTTTTCAAGCATTCGGATGAATTATTTCAAGACGTTTTTTAATAAAATGTTTGTCTTATATTGGAATTGCCCAAAATGTTAAATAGATAAAAATAAAAAGTAACAAATAGAAAGTGAGCAAGCGTTGTATTTTTGACTAGTAATGATAGTGTATCTTTGATCAAAAATCTAATACTTTTCGCACTTCAACTGTATTAATAATACTGTAAATTACAAATTATTATATTATAAAACGAAACGTTATTATATCTTTTTTTGTAAAAAAGTTATTATATTTAGTACTTACGTTATTGTATTTATGTTTCAGTACGTTATAACTACATCACGCATCATTTAGTTTTCACCATATTTGCAAAATTGAATACTCTGACTGTGCCAAATGGAGCGAAAGTATTGAACACTGTACAGCAGCGAATTTCTAAAATAATCAATAATTGGAACGAAGAAAATATGGTTCCGTTTTCACGAGAACGGA